CCCACTTACTTCTTAATCTGAAGTGTTCCAAAGATAAAATTTAGTGCTGGAGGAAAGATGGCTTATAAACATCTACTCTAAAACTCTGGGCATGCTTGTATCCTCCCTCTCTCACACACACAATTCACATCACAGGTTTCTTGAAATTGAGAGATGCAGTGGGCTGCACACACAGCAAGATAAAGGTGTCTGTGCTGTCAGGGTTTGTCAAGTTTCCATGCTCTGACTTCAGAAAATGTCCAAGCTTTGAAGCCAGGACAATACACACATACAATAATGTCTTATTTCAGGAGTGCTGCCGGAAGCTCCTGCCACAAAGACAAGTCAAATCTTTCATTTGCTGGCTGGGAGTCCAAGGAGAGGCTCATGGAGCAAGAATAACCAAACACCACAGTCCAACCCCACTGCCCCCAGTGTCTGCAGAGACCAGGGGCGTGCAGAGCCACCTCACAGACCCCATCCTGCCCTGCTCCGAGCTCACTCTGTGCTGGGTGTCACTCACATCCAGCCAAACAGGATCAGTCTCCTTTTCGTTAATGAGAGAAGGGTAGAGCAAAGGAACTGGAGGTCAGCCATTAACAGCAGCACCTCTTTCCAGTCCTTCAGATCTGATCAATCACTGCAGGACTATAATTGATTTTATTTTTTTTTTTTTTTACTTCCAGCTGTCTTACAGAAAAGCATAAACTTCAGTTTTGCCCTTGGGAACATCCATCCCAGAAATGGTATGTTCTGGCACTGCCAGTGTACTTGGCAGATATAATGAGCACTTTAAGGGCTTTCTTAACTTCAGTGAATTTCAGAGTAGCAATTATCTTCAATTACTCCAGATGAAAGACCACACAAAATGTTAATTCAAACCCCCCTTCTCCCAAAGCCCCCTGCTATCCCTGGTCACCAATGTCCTACTTTTTCCTCTCACCAACACCCAAAAGGTTGGACCTGCTCCTCCTTGCTGCTTATGTTTCCTGGTGTGATCAATGCCCTTGTCACACCTTCCTTTCCATGTATATTGTAAAAAATCCTGTCTCCTTTCAGGACATTGTAGAGTCCTTGTTGCAGTTTGGAGGAAAGCATTGCTTTCTCCAAACAGACACACTTGCTGCATCTCACCTAATTTCTCCCACAACCTCAATCAGAACAGGAGATAAAACAGACAAAACTGGTTATTTATACCTGCCAGAGGTAGGAAAAGATGCTCCACTGGATCCACTGTAGGACCCACTATTGCACTGTGGGACACAGAGGAAGGAACGGGGATCACCTGAAAGCAGCATGTGTCAGAAGGGTTTAAATACAAAAGAAATTAATGAGATACCTCAGCACTTCTTGAGGTATGCCTTGACTTCTAGCAGCTACAAAGAGCCTGTAATGAAATTGTGAAGCTGTTAACCACAAATTAGAACAATAGTCAGGAACAGCTGCAAAACAAGGCTGAAACAACACCAAGCTACACAGCAGTGACTTTGTAATTCAGGTGCATTTAAAGGAAATATTGGACACAAAACTGAGATCAACAATACTTTTGGGATGGTTTAAATCACAAATGAAAGAGCTTGTCATCAAAAGCAGAACATGTTCTCAAGGCTGAAATCCAAGACTCTGCGTGGCACCACATGGCAATGTAGGAGAAAACAAAACTTCCACGTCCCTGTGATCCACATGAGATGGACTGGAAGAACTACTGGTGGGAGGAAAGGGAGAAGGAAGGAGACTTAAGTAGGCAATCTTTTCCTGAGGATAACACCCAGCAACGTGCCAGAAGTCTAAAGTACCAGTGTTCACTAGAAATGCAGAACCACTTCTGAGGAAGTTCACTCCAAGCCTTCAGTTCTCTTCAAGAAAAAGGACCACACACTGTATTTCTTCATGAACTCCGAAGCTCCCTTCTGGAAGCTTCAGAGACTTCATAGCTCCATTCTTTTCATGACTGTTTTCTTACAATTTGCTGCATAAACTCTCTGGCTTTGGCTGCTCCACCCTATAGAGTGAGTTTTACAGCTATTTGTCAAACAGCAGCCACAGTCTGGGTTTTGTTTTTACAATGATGATAATCCTTGCCCTAAAGAACTTGCATTTAACAGCCATGTCTCATCTGTGACTCACTCAACCTGTGTCAAATAACAGCTCCAAGCCTGGTCATAGGAGCTTAAAATCCCTCGTGGGCTGCAAACTGCTCCCAAAGCAGCAGCCTGGGTGGGTCAGAGCTGCCCAGAGTGCTGCAGTTGTCCTCAACCTTGCACATGCTGCTGCTTTTCTGGGCTGAGATGACACAGGAAGTGCAAAGAATGGTGGTGTCAATTCCTCTGCTGTGCCTCTGAAAAGCTCCTGACGGCAGGAGGAGCGTGAACAAATCCTCCTGAGTTTTGAAACGGGCAATAACCAATGCCACTCTAATGAAGTGGTCTGAGAGGCACTGCAGAGAGCAGAGCAGTGACAGAAGCACAGGAAGGGGGGAAAAAAGGGGCTTTGAGACAAAGTGCTGTGAGCAGAAACGCCACACAGAGCTGGGCTGGTGATGCATTCGGGCACGCCACCAGGGCCAGGGCCAGGGAAGATGAGCAGCACAGTGAAGACATTGTGGGATCCCAAAATCAGAGAAAGGGGGCAGTGACAGTCATGGAGATGAGTAAAACGATTCTGGGCAGGGAGCCCACCACGAGAACAGTGCAGGGAAAAGCCACCCGTGGTGAGGACCAGCAGGGCACTCCACGCCCGCGATGCTGAGAACGAAACCCAGTGAGCTGGGGGGTCACTGCAGAGCCCTGAACTCCTCCCTTGTGCTGCCATCCAGCCTCTTCAGAATGGGAAGTGCAGGCTGCAAAGGAGAAGTCTGAGGTTTGGGATTTCTAAGGCCAGCACTGCTCTGTCTGCTGAGCCTTGCGCTGTCACAGCTTTTCCTCTGATGGGAATTGTGAAGGATGCGGTGGCTGTGCCCCAGCAGAGCAGGCACAGATAAACTTTTTGCTCCATCAGAAGCTCAGTGAAACACATTTTGTAACTCACTTACAGTGGCCTGTTACTTGATGTTCATGAACATATAAGACATGGAAAATGTCACTTTTACACCAAGCATTTCTAACACAGCTGTTGCAACAGCTGTGTTTTTTCACACAGCTATTGCTTTATCTGAAATAAACTACCAGGCACATTTCATCTGGGCAACAAGAGGACCAGATAAAAAAAGATGACAGGTATTTAAATTGAAAAGCCACAGCTAAATGAGAGAGGACCTACTTCTTGCAGAAGCTGTGTGCTTTTGTCATTGAAATGTTTCCTACTCTCCCCAACAGCTGAGCCTTAACATCCCACACTCATGGGTTACTTCTGAACACCCAACAGTTTATACACTTCACACAAACCAATTTTAAGCAATTCATGGCACTTAGGAGAATCCAGCATTAAGGCTAATAACAGCAGCTCATCAAACAAAACTGATTATGAGAAGGCCCCATCTATTTCTGTCAGACAGCATTCCCAGCACAGTTGTGGGCTATCCTTGGTTATTTCAATCCAATATTTGGTTATACTGAATTTAGGAGCTCTTTGACAGTTTCAATAGGACCAAAATGCTGACCTTCAGTAACTTATCAAATGCCAGATGGTACAGGCATTCACAGCAGAAGTTATTTCAACTCTGAATGTCTATAATAAAAATTTTATGCTGCTGAAAACTGTGGAAAAAGTTACTGACTCTTTACGAATGGCTAAACCACAATGCTGGCAAAACATAAACTAGTTCCAGGTCTGAAAGCAGGGAATGTGGAGAGACACTGTTAGTACAGAAAGTCTCCAGGCACAAAAGATATTAATTAATAACTGCAGCTGGAAACCTCCTTCCCCTTCCTCAGAGGCTTCCCCGTCGCTGAACTGTGAACTGAAACACAGCAACAGCTTTTGGGGCAGAAACTCTGTGTCAAAAGTTAAACCCAAGTCTTTGCCAGGAAAGAGTGGCTCAGCAGCAGTATCTGTCACTGTCTGTGACCTCACTGTCACTGTGACCACAGTTCCTGTTGCAGAGGCAGAAGAGCCCCCCTCCACCACATCACATAAAAGGACAAAGCCATAGTCGCGTCAGGTCGTAAATGTTTGTGCACAAACTGTTCAGCCTCTCTTCTGCTTTCAACTTCTCCCATATTTCTAAGGCAGACCCACCAGCATTTACCCTGCTGAAAGTGCAGCTCAAGCCCAGCAGCTGCTTCCAACCAGGCAGTCTGTAAACGCCCAGGACTCACTCCAAGGAGCCCAGCACACCCAGGCAGGAGAAGCCCCTGTCACCCCCAGGGAGGAGCTGCCAGCTCCCAACAAACAGCAGCAGGAAACTCTGCCACAAGCAGGCTCTCTACTTTTTTATCCCCCAAAATGCCAAATTTGCAGGCACATCAGTGTGGGCAGACCACGAGTTTCGGTAAGAGTGGTGGCTTGTCTCTGCTGACGTCAAGGACCTGCTGAGCAGGCGCCTGCAGCATGGGGCTGCCAACCAGTGCCCGGAGCAGCAACAGATTTGGGCTGCCAGGAGGCAGCTCAGCATGCAGGGTTACAGTGCCAGCCACCAGGAGACATCTCCAGTTTGGGGAAAAACTGTCACTGTCAGGGCAAACATCTGTCAGCCTCACACATTTCAACTGCAGCAAGAAACACGGTAATTGTATCATCCATTTTCCATACTGACACCAGGGACGTGCTCGGGTAAAGAAGATAAAAGAGGCTTGGACAGTCAGGACTGCAGGCACTTGAGGCCATTTTGATTTCAGCTTATTCCCTTTCTATCTAAATAAAAATATCTGTGATGAATAACGAATATTCCTCCACTTCCCTCCTTACTGCTACATTTCCAAATTTTCCAAGGGTGACACTCGCAGGGAACAAAAAGCGTAGAAACCGTACAGCGGGATGGTGATGCTGCAGAGGCAGCTGAGAGCTGGGGGATCTGCGGTGCACAACAGCCCCCCTCCCCTCTAGCTGCCCCAAAAGCCCCCTCCCCACTGCCCCGTCCTTACCTCGTAGGACCAGACGCACTGCACGCCCGCGAACCTGCGCACGCAGCGTCCCACCTCCACGTCCTCGTGCGTGGTGTACATCTCGCGCAGGCACTCGCCGATGTGCGGCACCATCCTGCGCAGCACCTCCCTGCTCATGATCACCCCTGGGCCCCCCATGCAGAAGTTCTCCCCCGGCTCCAGCGCCAGCTTGCCCATCTCCTCCGTGGTGCCGAGGCCGGTCTGGCCCAGGAACAGCGGCTCGCTGCTGTTCAGGCTCCTGAGGAAGTTCTCCAGTTTGTCCCCTTTGATGTAAACGTCGTCGTCAGCCCTCATGAACCATTCGTATTTGTCCAAGTAGTGGTCATGCATGTATTTGAGCATCATGAAGGATTTCTTCTGGGGCGGGTAGGAGTCATCTACGCCTGGAAGCGGCACGATGGGGATGGGGATAGAGGTGTCCGAACCCTCGCTGGAGAAGAATTCGACCTTGCCAGGAATGGTTTTGGACCACGTTCTAGATTGGAACAGACAAGAAGGAATAATTAAATATGCAAACCAGGGCAGGCAGAGAGTGCTGCCACAGACTGTGGCTCACCTGCTTTACAAATTTTCTTTTTTGAACACCTCAAAAGGTTATTTTTTTACCACACAAATGAGGACATTCACGTGGCACACACAGCAATTGGTACAACATACACAAAATTCTGATATGACAAGAGTCTGAGTACCATTTCTGCACCTCCATATGTCAGAAAAATAATTCAATAGCAGCAGTTCACTAGTAGGAAGCAGGATTCCTTAAGCACACTCAGTTTTGCACTAACAGCTATTGATCACAAAATATGGAGGCAATCCAATACAGGCCAACAATTCACATACAACTGAATTCACTGCTTCCAAAGCTTCTCTCTAAATTATTCAGCATCATAGCCACCTTCCATTCCCTCTACGCCTTCCCAAAAGCTCAAATGTGTACTCAGAAATACAGACTTCCAGAGAGTAAATTCACATGAACTTTCAAGGAAACGGCATCCCTTGGGAAAGCAACCAAAGAGCAACTTCTCCAGATGGTGTGTGGAGAAGCAAAGTACATGGAGCAGAAGTAACCTCAAGTGGCTTAGTCCATACCAGCAAAGTTCTAAGAGATGCCTGTAAAACTCCTGATTCCCACAGTAACATGGTGCTACCCAACACCTGCACCTTTCCAGACACTTCATTCCAGGTTCTAGTGGAGAGGAACTGCTCAGAAGAGGAGCCTTCCCTGTGCAGAGCAGCACAGCAACATCTGCTCCACACCTTCCGTGCTCCTCTCCGACAAATCCAACCCATCTGCGTGGGCAAACTGGGTCACTGACAGCAGGAAGGGCTGCAGGATGATTCCTCAAGGCAGAGCACAGCCTCCTCCAGGGAGGATTTTCAGTCACGTAACTGCTACAGCCTTGCCCTGAAAAATTATTAATTTTAAGCTTGCAGTACCATTTTCTGAGATTCTATCTGGGATAAGAGATCACATAACCCTCACAGAAACATTTTCAGTTGGTAAAACTCTTAGTTGGTAAACCAACTGAAAACTATTTTAGTTGGAAAACCAACAGATTTTGCCCCTTTTTATATAGAGGAAGAATAATTTAAAATTTTATTGGCAATTACACTCAGAATATAACCTAAAGCTGATGTGAAAAGACTCTCAAGGTAAAGGACACAGTATTCCCTCAATGCATCACTGTCACTCTCACCAGATGTCTCTCAGCACAGGCTTCTTGCCAATACCTGAGCAGATTTTGGGCAGCACAGACCATCTGAAATTTGAAATCTCCAGAATTAGCTACCTTATAAAACCTGAAATGTAAAAATACTTCAGGAGAATTATTCCTTAAGTTCCATCAGAAAATGCGGAGATATTTAATGAGACTACCTGAACATCAACTTTGACACCTTAACAGTTTCTCACTAATTCCACTGTGTGTAATGAATATCACCCAATTACTTTAAAAGCTTTGTCTCCTGGATTTCTCACTGCCATGGGTAGTGTTTCATAGCAAAAGTTTAGATCTGAGCTTCCAGAAGAGCACAGAGTAAAGGAAATGGAAACATTCCCACTGACTTCACAACAGAGGTGATGAGGTCTTTAATCACCAGTGAAGCAATTAATGCACAGTACTGCTGGTTATAAATCACATCCTGGTAAAGCACTGAGAACTGCCTGCTTTAAAAGGAGACACTGTCACATCCTGAACTTTCACTAACTCTTAAGGAAGTTCTGCTGTTTGCTTTCTAACACCCACACTCCACATACAAATCATCCACAGCTCTTCCCATATCAGCTCCCAGTCTAAGATTGAAAGACTTTTCTTCACTAAAGATGCATTTAAATTTTAGTGTCACAGAAAGAAAGGACAGAAGGAGTTACTGAGAAATGCAGCTCATCTCATCCACTGAGACACAGCTTTGGGTGGACCCAGGACACACTGCAGACAACCACCAGGCTGAAGTTACAACCTAAAGTCTTTTGGAGATTTCTGTTCAGTTACTTTTTTATTCAAAAGCAAACAATGTATTTTCAGACTTGCTCTTCACACCCTGAAAGATCTGCCTTTATCATGACTATAATCTATGGGCAATACAGGATGTCTTCTATCACTCCAAGCTTTAGCTCCTTCCTCGTAGTCATCAAGCTCTTCTGTTGATTCTCAGTTTAAATTTACTCGCTGTTCTCCAAATAGGCACCCTCACCTCAAGAACCACTAATTATTGTCAAGAGAAGAGCTCCCATTCAACAGAAAGGGAACTAAATACATGCACATCCATAAAGCATGGCACGCTTGATTCCCAGTCTTCCTATTGCACTAAACCCCTCATCCCAAAGCCAGTTTGAGCCCATCTTTCCATATGAGCCACATTCAGGTTTCACATTAGACCAGAGGTAAAACAGAGACATTCCTGCATGTGTGCAGGAATGGGGACAGAAACACCGTGCCCTAACAACATCCACGCCCCAAGGACCTGTGTGAGCACCACGATGTCACTCCAGCCTTGGGATCTCACGCCAACCTCATCGACCGTGCACCAGCACAGCTTGACTGAGCCTTTGTTCACCTCCTGCAGCAACACAATTTCTAGGAAGAGACAGCTCAACGTGTTATTTGTGACCGTGGCTTTGTTTGAACCCAAAGGGACGAAACCCTCGCACATGGACAAACAGCCCAAGTGTCTGTGTCAACAGGGCACAGCCCGGGCACGGGCTCAGACAATGGAGCCACCACGGGCTGCTCCTCACGTCCAAGCCCCAGCTCGCTGTGGCCCTTTTTGGGACAGAATGCAGGGAGAACAGTTTGCTCAGGAAACATGGTGCTGCACTCAGCCAAAGAAGCCAAACCACAGAGGGTGAGATGAACTGTAAGTAGGTTTTTCTGGCCCCAGTTATCAGCAGAACTAAGGACTGATAAATGCAGAGATGAATTCTGATCAAAGCTGCTTTTAATTTTTTTATCCAATGTTGCAAATAATCAGACTTGGCTCCATCACCAGCAATTCTGTAGTTTAGTATGTAAAACCTACACTTCTTGCCAATCCTCCCACCTCCACTGTCATTTACCTTGTCTGCTCTCAGGTTATGGGCAGCAACCTGACCCTTCAGCTCCTGAGCACAGGGCTCTTGTCTCAACACCTCCCCACCAACACCCCCTTCCACCAGCTGACATCACTTTCCTGGTCAAGGTTTCTCCAGTATAAGCCCTGCAGGTTGTATCTGCAAAAGAATTGTATGTTTGATAATGAAAAAAAAAACCCAGAAAAATATTTTTATTGAAATGTGACACCCTCCTTCTTCCCCACCGCCCTGTCACCCTGAGCTGTTTAAAGGACACATGGACACAACATTTCTGCCACCAGACTCTGTATCTGCACCTGCAGAGACCACCTGGGCTGCAGTGATCGACCACCAAGCCTTCAGTCAAAGCCATTTCAACTCTGTCCACAGAGAAATATCAGCCTGTGAATACAACTGATACTGCCCTGAACTGGTCATTTAAAAACCCTGACAGATCCCAACCTTATCTCCCCCGTGTAATCTGAATCTGCTGCTTAAGCAGGAGGATGTGCATGAATCAGGACAGCAAGGCTCTCCATTACCCTCCCCAGGAGGTAAAAAACCTGCACGATGCTGTGTGACCTGGTTTCTCTCAGTGCACAGAGCTCCACAAACCAGAAGGCTGTGCTGACAAGGAAATCAAAGTGAAAATTAAACAAACACAAACTAAATGAGTAATGCTTCCTCAGGAAAAAAATCTCTAAGCAGAGGACATGAGTCCAGTGATGGTCCAGTATTGGTGGCTACCAAATCAATTTTAACATCCCTCCCTCACCCAGTTTTGCACACTGGATATCCTATGTGTACCCTAGGCTAAGCAAGTCACAAGCAAAGTGGGTGAAAAGATTTTATCTTTTTAGCTGGCTCCCAGGAAATAATGAAATACAGAAAACCTTGTGCACACCAAAAGCGCTGAAAAACCCCAGTATTTTCTAAAAAGTGACCACAATTGTAGTCTTGAAATGTTGTCAGAAGTTATTTCTTCATTTAAAAGAAGCTTTAAAGCACAGCTTGCAGCAAGAGCAGCACAGATCTGGGATGTTTTCTCTTCAGTTTCCAGTATTTATTATTTATTTGTATTATCTTGCTTATCAGCACTGCAGACTCGGCAGAAGCACAGTCAGTGGCGTTATGCAGACAGTGCTCCCTTTGTAGAGACTCAGGCTGAAGACTGACAAAAAATGTATTTGGTTTTTGTCTGCAGCTCAGGAAGTTTCCCTCAGAGGAGATCAGAGAAATCATTTAAAGTTTTGAGAAATAGTCATCTTGTATAATTATGCTGAAGAAAATCATAATTTGTGAAGAACTCAGCAAGACAACAGACATGAAAGACTGATGTCTTGAATGCAGCTAAATTCCATGTTGAATTAGGGCTAGTTTGGCATCACTGTTCTTCAAGGCCCCATTTTTCCAACAACATTTGCTACAGGGGAAGCAGTGAACCACGGCTCAGGCAGGAGAGCTGAGCTCGGAAACCAGCACGCTGCTCCTGCACATGGTATTGTAGATAAGACATGGGAAGTCACCAAAAAAAAGCTGTTTTTTTAAATTTCCACATCTCTGTCACTAAGATCTGCATTACAGAATTCCAATTTTGAGGAAAAGTTCCTTTCAGGTTTCTGCAGGATTGCTTTAACAGAGAACCTAAGCGGATTCCACAGCTCTTTGAGTCCTTTGAGCTAAACTCCTCCAATTTTCAGTGATGCTAGTTTTCTGTCCATGCATATCCACCTTCCTTGTGGACACAGGGACAGAAATGGATCCATCACCCACAGGCACACAGACAGTCAGTGGCCAGGCTAAGATCAGAGCCCAAGTGCCTCAGAGTTTTGGGCCATATGGTTATTTTGGGGGGTGTAAGTGACTTTGTTTTACTTATCCCCCATTCCCTGTATCAATGACAGTTGCTCTGTGTGCTTCTTTCATACCGTTCCTTAAACATGCTCACAGATTTTAGGTTACTGGCCAGAAATGCCAAGTACATCATGTTTCTGGTGGAGGGTACCTGAGCAGGACACCAAGTTCTCACTGCTGCAGTACTGTGGTACAATTCACACATGAAGTAAAACACGTACTGTGCTGGCACGACATCCCAAGTCACTCCACAGGGCCCCCTCCCAAGAGGCAGGAGCTCCACAACCCATCACATCCCCCAGCAGCGCCCAGAACAGGCCAAACCACCCGACAGATGCAGATCTGAATTTAGGAGCAATGCACTTACAATGTGTAAGCGCAGGCTTAGACAGATAACCCAAACTCCCCCACACCCAAATCCTTTGGCTGCCTTTCACTTAAGCTCTTCCGAGCACTCAGGTGTTTGGCTTCCAGCTTCCTGTAAGCCACCACCAACAGAGGTTGGAAATGGAGCCTCCAAAGGGCATCGTTCTGCCACGGGGCAGGGATGGCTCAGCCCCGGGCATCCCTCATGGTCCTCGTGGCACTCACCGGTGCCCTGGGGACCGTCCCAAACCCAGAAGTGCTGTGGCTGTGCTCCTGCAGAGATGCTGCCAAAGGCCAGCCGCTGACATCTCGCCATTAACTGCATTCACACCACTCTCCTGCCACGTTTCCCAGGAAATCTAGTTGCTACGCAAACGGGAAAAAAAAAAAAAAAGGGTTAACTGCCTGATATTTCTGTTCCTGAGACAGCAAACTTAAATCTTCTGGGAGACTGCTTATTCCCATCCTCTCCTTCCTGCAGCTCTTTTAGGACAACTCCCCTCAACTGCAAAAGCATTAGCACATATTGCTGCACTTTCCCTGAACCCCAGCCATCCCTTTAACTCCTTCCTGCCCAGCTCTTTTCCTGACTATTCCTTGTCCTTCCAAGTGACACCGTGGCTCCTGCTGCTGCACTTCCCCGGCCTCCTGGAAGGGAAGCTCTGCTAACCTGGCTGTCGGATGCAATCACTGCTGAGGCTGCAAATCTGCCCTCCGAAAACCTGTGGATCTAAAGCTTATTCTCTGCCTCACAGACTACAAAAGCAGGACTGTTACAAAGAGCCGGCAGCTCCCGAAAATCCAGCAGGCCTGGTTTGCCTTGCAGTGGTCATTTTGCTCATGATTGATGTTCAGGAAGTGGATTGCTTCCCCTCTTGTTAGACCCTATCTGGATTCACAGCAGCCAGGATCAGCAAATGCTTTCCGCTCCGGTCCCTTTTAGCTGTGTCTGTAAATGGCCTTTGAGCCACAGCAATTTGGAGGTATTCAGCCTCTGAATCCCTAATTCCTTTCAGCGTGGTATCAAGGCTCTGCACACGCTGCCACCCCGGGAATGCCTTGCTAGCAGCTTCCCATTTCACTGGCTGTGCCAGCGATTCAGCTCACCAGGATGCTTTGTCAATGTAGTAATCCCAGCAATTGTCTGCTTGAGTACTTCATGGCAATCAAAAGCCATTTAAGATTTCAGGTTTGTCTTCCTCTTCCCCCCTCCCCATCTTCCCCCAAAGATGTCTTCCTGTCACCAGGACATTAGCTCATTTCTTTCACCAACGGAGGTGAAAACGCATTTAGCCCGACTAAGAGTCTCTTTATCCGTCTCTTCCAAGAACAGACATCATCTCTAGAGGTTAAACCAAAATAGCAGTGTAGTAAAAAGCGATACTCAGATCTCCATCTAAGGGCTGAAGGAGCCCGATTCCATTAGCTGAATTTGTTAAGTTGCATCTTTAGCCATTGTTTTGCGAGAGCAGATGTCGCAGATCTTGTTCTCCAAACCCAGCTCCGCCACAGCACCAGACTGTTCTGCAAGCACAGGCAAAACCAGGCGAAAACAGGAATCCTTCCCACACCAGCAAAGTGAATTTCTCCCCAAAGAACACTCTGGACAACATAGTGATAAATTTCCCTTTTCCGAATTCTTGATGCAAAATGTGATGGATGCTAGAAAAAGTATTCTGCCATAAAACCTGGTATGTGATGTCCCAACACGACTCCAGCCTCCTTGTATGTAAATCTAAATTGCACAGCCTGTGAGATTTGCAATCCAAAATACTCCATCCCACATGGTGAAGGAGAACATAACCCTGAAGAAACAGATTCCTTCACCCATTTCAAAGCATCAATCATGCGCTCTCTGTAACTTAATTACAGGTCTACTGCTGGAAGAAGGAATTAAGTTTCCATTAAAACCATCGCTGGTGGACAATATGCCTCAGATTGCCCAAATAAAGCAATTGTATTGCACTGGATGCTGATATAAAGACAGATTTCCTGAAACCAGAGCCGAGCTGAGAATGATGGTATGATGGCCCATCATCATAGTTTTGTCACCCTGCTCTTACTGGCCAATAGGGCCAAGTACTTTCCAGCCAGGGCAGGCAGGACATGGAGAAGGGTCTGTTCTAGCTCAAGACTGAAGGGGATGTTTAATTAAAGATCTGCCCCAGAGCTCCGGGCTGCTCCCCCGAGGGTGCTGGCTCAGCCAGAGCTGGGGTGTACCCGAGCTGACATTTTAGCCCTTGACTCTTTCAGATTTCCCAAGCAGGCTTCCCGTGCAGCCTCCCAGCACTGCCTGCTGGCGAACACACCGGAGCAATGAGCACATCCCAGCACATTTCAGCAGAGCACGGAGTTCCACCAAAGCCACAGACACATGTCTCACAGAAGAGATGATTATCCCGGTGCTGCCGAGGCTTTGGACAGACTTCACCTTGCACTCACAGCCATGCCCAGCCACACATGGGCACCACGGTGACAGCACACAGTGCAAAGCACCCAGACTGCTCCTGCTCCAAAATTAGGTGTGCTCAGGTAACAAACACACGGCTCCGAGACCCTGGCTCCTGCATTAGCTCAACCAGTCTGAGGCACGGAGCGCTTCACCCAGGCTGACTCTCCCATCCGAGCTGTTTCACTGCCTGGTCCAGCCTCAGCAGCGGCTGCAGAGAGCCGAGCTGGGTTTTACTCTTTGTTCCCAGATGCCTTTTCTGGGTCTCATTCCCAAGCACAAGCTTTCGGCTTGGCACAGTGCTCTTTATCCAGGCCATTACAGCGGTCCCCAAACTTTATTTCTGTTACCTCAGGCTGTCAGCTCGCTCCACAAGCAGCGGCCAAGGACCGTACCAGCGTGGCGCAGCTGCGCCCAAGGCAGAGGCACCGAGGGACGCACTCTGATGCCCGTGTCCCCGCCGGTGACCGGCACTGAGCGTCCCCTCGCACCGGCGGGGCTGCCTGACCCTCAGGCAAGGTCACCGGGGCCACCTGCCATGTGGAGCCTGGCTGAGCCAGACCCTGCGGGAGCGGCAGCGCGGCTCACGGACCCCTCGCGTCCGTGCCGAGCCGCCCGGGCAGCGGAGCCGCGCTCGGGGCACCGCGGCTGCCGCAGCCCGCCCGGAGAGCGCCCCGGGGCTGGGAGCGAGGAGCGCGGGGGCTGAGGTGCCCCAAGGCTCGCTCGCAACTGCCCCGGAGAAGGGCGAGTGTTCCCGGGACCGGCGGGGGCATCCCGGCCGTAAGGGCATCCCGGGTCGGGCGGTTTTAGCCCGGGGGACCCGGCCGACCGGCCCGAGTCCAGCTGAATGGGAGCGAAGCGAGCCAAGCCCAGCTCGGCTGAATGGGAGCGAACCGAGCCAAGCCTGGCTCAGCTGAACGTGACCGAACCCAGCTGAGACGAGTCGAGCCCACCCGAACCGACCCCGAGCCCATCCCAGACCCCAGCCCAAGGCAGCCCACCGGCCCCCCATCCCCGCCGGGCGCCCCCGGCCCCCGCCGCTCACCGGTGCGCGGCCACGGCGCGGCTCCGCAGGTACTTCTGCGCCGTCATGACCCCCACGAAGAGGAAGCTCTGTGCCGGCGGGCCGGGGCGGCGCGGCGGGGCGGCGGCGGCGGCGGCGGGCGGCGGGCGGCAGCCCTGCGGGCGGGCTCGGTGGGGCCGCGCCGCCGCCGCCAGCTCGGAGGCGCGGGGCAGGACGAGGCGCGATGCGAGCACGAAGCCCAGCACCAGCCCCAGCAGGACGCTGAGCCAGGCGCGGCGGCCGCGGCCCGCCATGCCCGCCCGGCCCGCTGCTCACAGCGCCGCCGCCGCCGCCAGCCGCGCCGAGGCGCCCAGCGCCGCCATGGGGGAAGGGGCAGGGACGGGAAGCGGAGGGAGGGGAGCGGGGGGCCGCCCGCCTCCCCGGCCCTGCCCCTCGGCACAGGCGCCGTGTGCGGCCCCGCCGCGCTGCCCCTGGCCCCGCCCGGCCCTGCCGGAGCCGCCGCCGCGCAGCCCCCGGGGCGGCCCCCGCCCCGTGAGGGGCTCCGGGACGCGGCCCTGGGCAGGGGGCTCCGGGAGCACCGCCCTGCAGCGGCACCGCTGCACGTCCCGCCCCGTCTCTGCAAGCGTTCCAGGCCAGGTTGGACGGGCTTGGAGCAGCCCGGTCCGTGGGAAGGTGTCCCCGCTGCCCGGGGCACAGAGTGGGATGAGATGAGCAGTACGGGCCCTTCCAACCCAAACCCGTTCTATGACAGGGACCGGCACCTTAACCAAGCATTCCACACAGGGGATAGGGAACTTGGCCCTATCCCACACTGGGACCTCGGAACTGGCACACCAGAACCTCAGCCCAGCTGCCCAGATCAAGAGGGGCAGAGGCCGAGAGAATGTGGATGCTCAGCTCTGGGGACAGGGAGTGAGACGCTGGACATAACCCCGGGATAGGCGTCCTAGCACCTGCACCAAGCAGAACCGGGAGCCCAGCCCTTCAGACTAGGATGGGAGGACACTGGGGACAGACCCAGGACAGGCACGGTCGGGTCCCTGCTGCCCAAGGCCCGGCTCTGCCCCGTGGCACGGAGTCCAAGGGGATGCAGGCAGTGAGGAGCAGCCCTCCGGCCCTGTTTGCCTGGCACTGGTGCATTTGTGCAGCACAGGCTGTGGTGACGGGGAGCCAAGGCACAGGCACACTGTTTTTTCCCACCTTGCTAATTAAACCAACCAGAAATAAGTCAGTCTGTTTCTATCCACAGGCTATAGTGAGTGCTCAACAAATTGAAGACTTTATTGCATGAAGATTTCCTTTTTCCTTTGTCCACACTGACTCTCCACGAGCGTTTCATCTACAGAGCACTTCAGCTTCAAATGCTGCAGCCACAAACCCCTCACATTTCACAGGAAAAAAACCTTCCAGTCTCAACAGAAGAAACTTATCAAGTACTACCCACTGACCTCCTGCTTATCATTGTGGTTTCTTCCATTTCCTGCCCACTTTGGCCTTTCCAATTGCCAGTCTTTTCCATTTTAAATTTTATTTATATCATGATGTCATCCACAATGAGCTGGGAAGAAGGTCTTGGTGTAACGGCAGCAGCCTCTTGAGCAAGAACCATTGCAAAAGAGGATATCACACCACATTAATACTCTACAGTAATAAGCCAAAGAGAGACATCCATGACAGACTTTTTATGATCACAAGTACCTGTCTCGATTCTGGGATTGAGCAGGTAATGACACAATCTGCTTATCTAATGAGCTCAATGAAATGTCTTGAAAAAAATGCTTTTGTTTGGGGTTTATTGCTCTTGTGGTGGTGCAATCCTCACACCGAGGTCAGCACAGATGAACTCGTGATGTCAGAGCACAAATAACACAAGGAAAGTGCCACCAGGATTTATGGTATTAAACAACAATAAAATTGAATACAAATAGAAACTAGATAAGAAATACAAACAGTGAACAGGAAGGAAGAGCAGGACGTCTCCTTTTGTTTGCCCACGGACAGAACAGAGATGTATCGAGAGAGATGTGTTTGTGTGAAGAACAGAAGAGCTAAATGGTGAAAGAGAGAGAAAGGAAGAGCAGTCCAAACTGGGATACACACAAGGCAGGTGAGGGGCAGGAATACCATTGCTTGGCAAAGGCCAGCTGGACTGTCCTTTCCACTGTAATTCCTTTCTAATTCATAGGGTTTGCAATGCTTCACAGTTATTTCTAACTACTGGTGCTCTGATCCGTTCCATGAAGCCTGGGGTTATCCTCAGCCTGTGCCACTCTGCACATGTGGATCTTTTATTGCACTTAAAAAAGGTTCTTCATTAAACTCTGCTTCTCTCCTCTCCCCACAAGCCTGATCATCAGGTCCTGAAATACACAACACCAAGAGACATTCAAGCTACAAAAAGAGCAAACCCACTCCTTTCCAAGAGAGGCACATGTGGCAAGTCCATGAGCAGGAATGGGATTACTCTGCCTGCTCCAAATCAGCTGTAAAAATCTCCTGATTCAAGGGAAAGCCACTGTGGCCTATGAATTACAGGAAAAGGCAGAGCTAGCGTGGTTAAAAGGCAATAAAAAGGAGAAAGGTTGGGGCTGGGGCTGAGGAGCTGTCAGTTGGCTTCTTCCCACAAAGAAAAGAAGTTAGTCATCAGAGCTGAGAGCTCCGTGCCACTGCAGCACACATGGAAATGATGAAGCAGAGCAGCTCATTCCCCTGATGGAGCTCCCCTGGGCACGTTCCCACCTTGCTGCAGCTCCAGAGCAGTTATGGTCCTGGGGCTCACCACGTGCAGGGCTGGCCAGAGAATGCTTGGGAGGGGGCAGGAGGAGGAAGGGGAGCTGTCCTGGTGCCAGATTTGACCTGCAGAGCAGGCACAGTCAGATTTCACACCCCAGCGCCAAGGCTGAGATGTCCAGCTGGGAAGAGGGGGTGCCACCTGGGAATGCTGCAATGCTCACACAACTCCCACAGCACATCCACATGCCTCTCTTTGTGCCATTTATTGTGCCAAACTCACATTTCAAAGTGCTAGGCAGGCACATGCTCCTTTTACTGCTTCTGCCCCTGTTCTTGCATAGAGCAGCTGCTGGAAAAAGAGGGGGAAAAGCAGATTTGGGAAAAACTTGAAAAGCATGGCTTATTTCTTCCAGTGGAATTATAATATTGTTACCTGCCCAGAGTATATTTTAATCTGGATGGCAGCAAAAGGTCATACTGCATAATCACATTTAAGTGCCATTCCCTATTATTACAGCTCTTGGTCTCAATAGCTGTCACTATATATTATGGTTACCATATATTCAAAGACATGATATTTTTCTTTGGTAACACAGTCTACAAGCATACAGGCATTTTTATGCAGCATGTTTCCAGTTCCTTGTGGGATGGCTGGAGGAGGAATTGTGAGGGCTCTCCAAAAGGATGCACATGGTGTGTGCTCATCCCCACACTCCCATCCCACTCCCTCCAGCGAGATTAGCACCCAGCCCAGCCACTGAGAGCCCACTTGACAGGCCCACATGGTTTAGATTCATAATCAGATTAACAAAACAGTAATCCTATTTTTAAACAATGGAAAAGCCAAGTCCTCAAGCTGCCTCTGTGAGTGTGTGTGCATACAGAATAAATGTCATCCTTTTGGAATAAAGAACCTGAATACCAAATGAAAAAAGTTTCTTCCACATAGGAGACTTTGTCCTGTAGAGGAAAGGAACATCTTGCATTATTAACACTTCTTTTTCCCACTGATTTTGATCTCCAGTGAGCCCACTTCCAATACTTGCAGGATTTACCTTCTATAGGACACATTCTTCACCACATTTTAAAATAATTGTTACAGGAGTAAACTATTCCCCAAAGGCTCCAGAAACTTTAATTATGAATGTTCCAGTACTCAAACTTATACTTTAAAAACTGCCCAGGCACTGGAAAATGAGCATACTTCATATATTCAATGTAACAGACTCACGGTGGAAAAAATCTCACTGGGCAACCAGTAGCATTTGTCTCTGTCACAATATTTCCAGCCCCGCCACATTTTCCCGAATGATGCGGAAACTCCTTCCTCAGCTCCAGCACCCACTTCTTTCTTGCTTTCTTTTTTGACCCTCCCCATCCTATTCTGGGTCTGGTAGGCCCAGTCCCAAGCTGTGCTTGGGTGAGTGACTCAGAAGAGCCCGTTCTGCTGTGCCCATCCTGCAGGAGCTGTGCCCGCTCTGCAGGGGCTGTGCCCGTTCTGCTGTGCCCATCCTGCAGGAGCTGTGTGTGTTCTGCTGTGCCCGTTCTGCTGTGCCCCTTCTGTAGGGGCTGTGCCCGTTCTGTGGGAGCCATGCTTCTTCTGCTGTGCCCATTCTGCCGTGCCCATTCTGCCGGAGCCGTGCCCGTTCTGCTGTGCCTATTCTGCAGAAACTCTGCCCCTTCTGCCGGAGCCGTGCCCGTTTCTGCTGTGCCCGTTCTACAGGAGTTCTGCCCATTGTACAGGAGCTGTGCCCGTTCTGCTGTGCCCGTTCTGCAGGGGCCGTGCCTGCTCTGCAGGGGCTGTGCCCACTCCGCTGTGCCCGTTCTGCTGTGCCCCTTCTGCAGAAACTCTGCCCATTCTGCAGAAGCTGTGCCCTTTCTGCTGTGCCCGTTCTGCCGGAGCCGTGCCCATTCTGCCGGAGCTGTGCCCCTTCTGCCGTGCCCGTTCTGCAGAAACTCTGCCCATTCTACAGGAGCTGTGCCCGTTCTGCCGGAGCCGTGCCCGTTCTGCTGTGCCCATTCTGCCGTGCCCGTTCTGCAGGATTTTTGCCCGTTCTCGCTCCCAGCCCGGCCCGACATTGCCATCGCCCGGCCCGGCCCCGCAGTGCAGCGCGCTCCCGTTCCCGGCCGAGAGATGCGGGAATGCCGTGTTAAAAACCGCTCTGCTCCGCAGGCAGCTGCTCCGGGGCCTGCTGAACCCCAGGTGCCCCCGGCTGGTGACACCTAAAGCAGTGGCAATCACATTACCTGAGAAATGGAATTCACAGGCAGTGTCGCCCCCTCCCAGTATGTGACAAAGCTGTACAATCTGATTTTTTTTTTTGTTTTTTTCAAAGTGCATCTTTTAGGCCAAGCTGACAGTAACTCCCCATTTTAATGCAGGGTACTAGAACTAGACTTAAATGCCAGGTATTTCAGGGTATCCATTTCCCTTCCATTCCCTTTAAATAAAATTTTCTTTTCCTTCCATTCTCTTTAAATAAAATTTTCTTCCCTTCCATTCTCTTTAAATAACATTTTCTAAGTTCTTTTCCCTGCCTCCCTCCACGACTGTTCCTCA